TGTACTCTGTGTGTGTATATATATATATATATATATATATATATATATATATATATATATATATCTAAAAACTTATAAGCAGCAATGATGGTTAGAGCATTTTAGGAATGATAAAAATGTTGGGATAACACTAAAGCAATTTACATTTGTACAATTTATTTTAGTCATTGTACCATTCATCATTAAATCTAAATCTCCACCTTAACTCCGTTAACTCCAACGGTTTCCAACTTTTGAGTTTCCAACATGATGCCTTCACATTTTAAATATTCTGTGCACTTAGATTTATTTGATTTCCGTTTAATGTTCTAATTGAATTTCTCATCATGTATTTTACCTTATGCAAAAATTTCGAAAATCATTATTCTATTATAATTATTCTAATTTGTCATGTCTAATTTAATTATTCATCTTATTTTTACTGCTTATTTTTATATATATATTTAAAAACCTTAACATTTCAAAAGTAGGTAGATTAACAATAGTGAAAGATGTTATATAACTTTTGAGGGTATGATTGGAAGATAGTGGAATAATGTGATGGAATGAAGGACAAGTCCGGCCAAAAAAAGAAGTTGTAATAGTGTATTATTTTCAAAATTATTGAGGGCATGATGAGAAGATTTTTTTCGTTACGAACAAAAAAGGAAAGTGAGAAGTTTTTTTTATTACAGAGGGAGTAAGTAGTAGTAATAATATTTTTTGGCCGAAGAGGGGGCGGTTGCTCCCCATGCCCCCTAGCTCCTCCACTGCCGATATCGTACTTTAATATGTATTAATTTCTCTTATTATAGTGGCATAATAGATGATTATTTGTACAAGTAATTGTGTGCAAATATGAGATTACTACGAACGGAATATGTTGATCATCACCCCCCCATCACCCCTACTACTCGACCCCAAGTAATATCTAGACGGCCATTGCAATATTTTATTTCATATGCTTATCAAAGAGGATTATTAACTTATTGAATCATAGATATTATTAATTTTACCCATGACAATATGTATAATTCACATTCGTTATTGCACTTGCCTCTTATTACCACATGTTTGGTGCTATTGGATTCAAATATCAAAATGCCATACATGTTTTAGCTAGGCCTTATAAACCTAATCATCTGCCCACCCTTTCTTAGATTGTTTATTGCCACATTATTGATATTACATTCTTATAGGGCGTTCCAGAACGATCCTTGTCAGGCTTATGAGAACATAGATGTGTCACGCCCCTTTTTGTATCATCCGTTATGTGGGAAAATATGCATAAAGCTAATCTTGTGTGCAAGTTCACATAACTTAAATATATTAATCATTAATATTCACATTATGTTAACCTTGTCAAAATAACATTGGGCATTTTTCCTCGCGCATCGCGCGTTATAGAACTAGTATATGTGTGTGTGTGTGTGTGTGTGTGGAATTTGGAATACATGTCTACTTTACGTCCGTGATGTATGACCGAGTAATTTTATGGAGCCATATGTGACTCTCTTACGGAGTCACATAGGCTATTGTGGCATCACCACCACCATACATTATTTTAGTGGGGATCCTCAATAAAATAATGTGTGGTTGTGGTGATGCCACAATAGCCTATGTGACTCCATAAGAGAGTCACATGTGGCTCCATAAAATTTTTGATGTATGACCATTGAGATTTTTATTTTATTTTGCTGTCCACTAAATTTTAACATTGTCATATGGTGTGGTAGATTCCACCTTCAAGCTGTGGACACTATGTTTTCAGTGCCAATTTGCAATACACAATATCTTCTGCTTTTAGATAGTGAAAGATATCGACATAAATTTTAAATAAATGAATAACATCGTAACTATATAAATGCCAAGAACATAGGCTGTTTGGCAGCACCGTTTTTCGACTTATTAGGCTTATCATCCAACTTTTTCACTAAACACGCAATTTTTGCTTTCGCGCGCTGAATTGTGTAATAAGCAGAAAAAGTAAGGTTGAAGTTACTTTTCTGGCTGTATTGGCTGAAGTTATTGTAGATGTAAAACTTTAAACAAATGATTTGAATGGGAAAGGATGATTTCCACTTTCTCATTGAATTGCTTATATAGTCATTACAACATGGATATAAAAGGTAAACATGTCAGGACCTAAAATATACCGATTTACATGATCAATTCTAACCATAAATATATGCAAAGTATAATAAAAAGATTTATACAATATTCTATCATTAACACTTCCCTGCAAGCTTAGCGAGGCGATCTAATAAGAAGACGACGACGCAAAGCTTGAAATCGTGTAGTGCCCACTGCCTTTGTGAATATGTCAGCAACCTGATCGACGGACCGAACATGGCGAACTACGAGTGCACCAGACTGAACTTGCTCTCGAACAAAATGAAAATCAATTTTGATATGTTTGGATCTTTGAAGAAAGACGGGGTTGGCAGTGAGGAAGGTTGCACTGAGATTATCACAAAGAATAATTGGTGGTGGAGTGAACGGAGTGCCTATTTCCTGGAGCAGTTGACGTATCCATATGAGCTCGGCCGCTGCAAAAGCAATAGCTCGGTATTCGGCTTCGGTACTAGAGCGAGAGACAACTTGTTGTTTGCGTGATGACCAACTGACGAGGTTTCCTCCGTAGTACACTGAGAAGCCATGCTGGGAGCAGCAGTCATCTGGGTCAGACGCCCAGCCAGCGTCGGTGAATGTGACATGGCTGGAATCACGCATTTTCCCAAATGCAAGGCCATTTGATATTGTACCTTTTAGGTACCGTAAGATCCTCTTAACCACCGACCAATGCGTAAGGGTTGGTTTATGCATAAACTGACATACACGATTAACCAAATAGGAGATCTTTGGGCGTGTAATAGTGACGTACTGAAGGGCACCCACAATGCTGCGATATAAGTGAGGATCCGAAAATGGGTCACCAGTGGCTTGTAACCGTGAAGCAGGCTCTGCTGGAGCAGAGATAGGCTTGGCATCGACCATATGACACCTGTTTAGTATGTCATGAATATATTTCTTTTGGGATAAGAGAATACCAGATGGAGTGCGGAGAACCTCAATCCCAAGGAAGTAATGAAGAGTGCCCAAGTCCTTTAAGGAGAATGTGGTATTTAGGTGCTGAACAAACTCATCTATGAATTTGACATTGGAACCAGTGATAATTAAGTCGTCAACGTAGACTAGGACATAAACAACATCCTGATCATACCGTTTGATAAATAAATAGGAGTCTGAGATACAATTTTTGAAGCCATGGTGATGAAGAGACGATTGGAGCTTGTGAAACCAAGCAAGCGGTGCTTGTTTGAGTCCGTAGAGAGCCTTGGAGAGGCGACAAACATGAGTTGGTTTGTCACGTGAAATGAACCCTTGAGGTTGGTCCATATAGACGGTTTCACTGAGGTCACCATTGAGAAAAGCATTGTTCACATCAACTTGTCGAAGATGCCAGTTCTGAGTGACCGTAAGATTGAGAACAACCCGAATGGTGGTGGGTTTGATCACAGGACTGAATGTGTCGGAGAAGTCGATGCCTTCTTCTTGCAGAAATCCTTTTGCAACTAGGCGAGCTTTGTAGCGCTCGATTGTGCCATCAGCTTTCCTCTTAATCCTGTAAATCCACTTACACCCAACAATGTTAGTCCCATAGGGCCTAGGAACAAGTTCCCAGGTTTTATTACGCATAAGAGCATCATATTCAAGCTGCATGGCGTGCTGCAAGTTGGGATCTTTGGAGGCCTGGGAGAAAATTTTGGGTTCAACGGGGGTAATGTGGTCAGTGAGTAAAGGATATTTAGTAGAGGTGAGAGCTTTGGGTTGAAGATTACCTGTTTGGGCACGAGTTACCATTGTATGATGGGAATCAGAAGAGGCTCGGAAGTAGGAGGGAGCACTTGAGTAGGTCGGAGCCGGTGGTGGTTCGGTTGAGGAAGTTGGCAGGGAGATGTCAGGGCTGCCATCAGGCAATGGGATTGGAGACAATGGTGATGTGGCGGCTGAGTTGGGAGGGTCTTGAGGGGAGGAGAGAGGTATAGATGGAGATGGTGTAACTGATGGTACTGGACATAGAGATGAGGCATGCTGCAAAGGATCAAGGGGAAGAGACACAAAGGGAATGACAGGTGGAGAGGTAGACGAACTGTGGGATAAGTATGGGTAGACAGACTCATCAAAACAATGTGTCTGGCAATAAAAGATTTGGAAGAAGATACATGGAAACAAATATAACCTTTCTGTTTGGAACTATACCCTAAAAAGATACTCCCTCCGTCCCGTTGGAATGTTCCCGGTTTGACCTACACACATATAAAGGAAATAAACTTACCAGGGGTAAATTTTACTGTTTGGACACTGTTTGACACTGTTTGACACTGTTTTGCACTGTTTGACACTGTTTTGATGTAGGATAACTTTCCATTTAGGGAAATGAGAACTTTCCATTGGGACATCCAAAAAAGGAAAGTGGGAACATTCCAACGGGACGGAGGGAGTACATGGCAGTGAACGAAATTCCAATTTGTTGCTAGCATAAGCACCCAAAAGATTTTAAAAAACCATAGTCCGGTTTACGAGAGTAAAGACTTTCATATGGGGATTTAAAATCAAGATTAGGTGTAATGGTGCGATTGGTAGCATAAACAGCCATGTGAAAGGCATGTTCCCAGAATTCTGTGGGTAATTTTGAGTGAGCAAGTAAAGAGAGACCTTTTTCAATGACCGTTCAGTTTAGTCGTTCTGCCGAGCCATTTTGTTCTGGGGTGTATGGGCAGGAAACACGATAAATAATGCCATGTTTAGCCAAAAATGGTGAAAGGGGTCGAAATTCACCACCCCAGTCAGTTTGCATAGCTTTGATTGTGGTGTGTAATTGATTTTCAACCATTTGTTTGAATGATGTAAAGACAGAGAATACTTGGGATTTATTAATAAGAAAATAAATCCAAGTATACTTGGTACAATCATCAATAAACGAAATAAAATAGCGATTTCCATTAAGAGATAAGAAAGGGGCAGGGCCCCAAACATCCGAATGAATCAAAGCAAAAGGGGTTTTAGACAATTCACCCCGTTTAGGTAAATGAAAACGGTGACTTTTCCTAATTGACAAGAATCACAAACACTGGGTTGGGAGACATTAGTAATGGGTAAAGAAAAGGTAGACACTAGTCGACGTAAAATCGGTTCACTTGGATGCGCCAATCTTCGGTGCCAGCATTCCAAAGAAGTACGTTCACCAAAGAAGACACTGGGAGAGGATAGTTGAGGCCATTGTTCTAAAAATCGGCCTAGGCGGACCGATTAATCGGCCTAGGCGGCCTAGTCGGCCCTAACCGTAGAGGCCGAATCGGCCTAGTCGGCCAAAAAATCGGTTAGTCGGCCGCCTAGGCGCTAGACGCCCCTCAACCGCCCAACTAGCGCCTAGCGAGTTTTAGAACAATGGTTGAGGCAATGATGGTAGTCGGTATAGACCATTCTCAAGCGTCCCTCTTAGCAACGTCTGCCCCTGTAAATTCTTCACAAGACAACAATGAGGGTGAAATTCAAGGTAAACATTATTGTCACGTGAAAGCTTAGAAACAGAAAGTAAATTCTTTTTTATATCAGGGACAAGTAAGATGTTGTGTAAGTGTATAGAAGAGTTTGGAGCACGCAAAGCAGAGAGAGTAGAATGCCCTAAATGCGTAATACGGAGGGACTGGCCATTGCCAACCATGAGACCTTCATTACCGTCATAAGGGTGAGACATGGAGAGCTTGCCAAGGTCACCAGTGACATGATGTGTAGCACCTGAGTCTATGACCCAAGGATCATAAAGAGTTGAGGGACTAGATGTTGATGCCAAGAATGTAGTAGGAGGTGGCGGTGGAGCAGATTGCTGTTGCTGGCGCTGCTGGCTGCCTCTTTGCTTATTTCGACGAGGAGGTGGACCGGTTGCTGGAAATGTGTTGGTGTTCAGGCGTTGATAGCAATTAATAGCCTCGTGTCTAAGGCGTTTGCATATTTGACACATAGGGCGAGGTCGATCAGAAGGCTGTGAGGGTGAAGCATCCATAGAGTGATGATTCCGGGGCAGGCGAGAGGCAGAATGAGCCTCTGGTGTGACAATGTCGGTTTCACGAGCTTCCTCCTCTAGGCGTTGTTCTTCTTGGAGCAGAAGATTCAGAAGGGCATCAGAGGTCAAGTCTGCACCATGTAGTGACAGAGCAGAGCGGAAAGAACCATAAGCAGAGCCGAGACCATAGACAAGGTAGTCAACGAAGTCAGAATCAGGGATGACAACAAGACATTCAAGGAGACTATTTGCGATTGCACGTTTCTTCTCGAAGTACTCAAGAATTGAAAGAGAACCTTTTGAGAGAGATTGGAGTTGTTGGCGGAGGTGCATCTGTCGAGACCTAGTTTGGGCGTGAAATATCCGTTCAAGCATCGTCCCAGCTTCGTGAGAAGATGTGGCGCGGGCGACCAGCCCTAGAAGGGGAGTGGTGAGCGTGGAGCGAATCCAGAGAAGAATCAGACGGTCCTTCCTAATCCACGCAGCATAGGCGGGGTTAGCCTTGGTGGTTGCCTGAGTTGTCGATGTTGCTGGTTGATCGATGATGGTGGTCGGTGGTGTATTGACCGAATTAAGGCAAGAATCAAGGTCATATGCTTCAAGAGCGGAACACACTGTGCCTCTCCAGAGAGAATAGTTCGTGCGATCAAGGCGAAGGTTGATGGATGGAAGTTGAAGCAGGGAAGTGGAGGAACCAGTGCTCGCTGCCATGGCCAAAATTTGGGACAAAGGGGAATTGGCAGAAGAGAATTCTGGATCTGTAGACATAGGATCGATATATTAGGATGATACCATGTAAAACTTTAAACAAATGATTTGAATGGGAAAGGATGATTTCCACTTTCTCATTGAATTGCTTATATAGTCATTACAACATGGATATAAAAGGTAAACATGTCAGGACCTAAAATATACCGATTTACATGATCAATTCTAACCATAAATATATGCAAAGTATAATAAAAAAGATTTATACAATATTTATCATTAACAGTAGATGACCATTTTAGCTATTTTTACATGTAATATTTTCTTTATTTTATTAATAAAATATAATTAAAAATAATTTTTTCTTAAATCAATAGAATCAGCCAATGCAGCCACTTCAGCAAGAACTTCATTAATTTCAACAGAATCAACCAAATCAGTCTATTTTGGTGCTGCAAACTAAATTTTTACTTTAACTCATATTGATTTGGCAGAGTACTGATTTTTTATTATTCTCCACAATTTAGTCTAAATGCTAAATTTGCGATGACATGTTATCTTATCTTATGTACTTCGTATATTATAAGATAAGTAGTTTTTTAAACAAAAATTATTTTTCTCTTCATGTGGTTCATTAAGAAATCTTATAGAGAATGTATACTTTATTGTTTTTATTTGGACATTTTTTTAGTTGGAAAATGTTTCAGAAATCTATAAAATGGCACTGAACAACTCAGAAATCTATAAAATGGCATTTATATTGGTAATAAAAAGGAGTAAGGAAATTGCGGAACTAAATAAATAGTGCCTTCAACATAAGGAGTTGGAGGATGATGCCTGAAGCAATTACCTCATATTCACTAGCCTTCTTAATAAAGAACTTTTAAAAGCAAAAGAGAGAAGAAGATACAATTGAAACTACTAGCAGATGATGCCCTGCAGCCAAACAAGGCCAAGGCAATGAGATTTTGCAACTTGCAAGTGCTCCGCTCAACCACGGCGTCATCCTAGGTATGTACGTATAGTCTGGTTCAGCATTGGACAGACAGAGACAGCCCCAGTTTCTATTCCAAAGAGAGGTTAGCAAATTGTTTACCAAATTGTTGCTGACATAAAGCCCTCAAATCTTCCCCTCTGTCTCTCTAGTACCTCATGCTCCACTGCATATATAGCATTCACAGTATATATTTCTGAATACTCTCCTAAATGAACTTTTCCATTTGTCTAAAAATTGTCTTTCCATTTCTTTTTTGAGTGAAGGATTTTGCAGCAGCATTTTTTCCCTTTGAAAATAATGTTATTTTTTTAATCTCCGTACCGATAGCAGCTGTAAAAAACATACAAGGACAGTTGAAATAATTATGAATTCTTTTTAAGGAGACCGTGTGGCACGCTTCAATATGCTATACTGCTATATGAGGAAATACAGTTATGTGGTCCACGTGGATTCCAGATGGTAGAGTGGACACATATAGAGTCTGTTTGCAAACGCTTAAAAAAGCACTTCTCGATTTTTGGCTTAAAAAGCTGAAATTAGTATTTTCAAGTGACAATTTCTACTTAAATTAAACACTTAAAAACTAAAAGCTAAAAAACTGCTTTTTAATTTTTCTATTACACAAAAAGCACATATTTTATCAAACACTACCTTAGTTTGCTGATATGGGCTCCTTAATTCTAGAAAAAACTAAAATATTTAAACAAATAATAAAATCAGTTGGTTCAATTTGAACCGATTTACTCATTTACTAACCTCTCAAACCAATTTTAAACCGATTAATGTTCAGATACCAACTTTCAGGTCCCGATAAAGTCGGTTTTCTTTCGGTTTGATTTTTTCCCATCTTGGGTACGGTTTTAGCGGTTCACTTTTCCATTATTCGCCCTAATAACTATAACACTTAATCACTTATCAAGTAGCTGAGTTGATTCTTGAGATGAAAATTTGATACAAGGACAAAGAATAGAATCCCACGAGCAACACTGTGGGGGCTTCTTTAAAAGTGGATAAACTTTTAAAATGTAAAATGAGATATCAGATACGCAAGTCGGATTGGGGAATTGTCTTTTTCAGATAGTCATAATATAAACCAATGTAAAATAATGTGTGGCACTTAGCTTGATTAATTGTAAAAAATGTTAAGCTTGTTGAAACAAATTACATTGTTTCTAAAAACATTTCTTGTATATGCATCTCTAAATGACTGAATATACTTGCCATTGATCTATACTTTCAAAGTTTCAAACTTCTCCCCACATTTTCCCTTCTACAATACTATTCACAAATCTTAGAACTTTTTAAATGTTGATCTTATTGCAACGAGTAACTGGGGAAAATAAGAGTATAATTAACTTCATTTAATATATCTGTTTGAATTCACTTTATGTATTAATGTGTACTACTACGTATAATATTATGTGAAAGTTTAAAAAAACACTAATTAATCATATTTAATTTCCTTTTACCTTTTGTGAGATAAATCCTAAGCTAAGAAAATAACTCTCCTTAAGTTTGTTCTTTGCCTTAGCTAACCTTTTCGGGTATCAAAGCGAAGCCTTAGAATTCTGATTAAATCGGGAGCTAAATACCACTCCAGGGGAAAATGAATGGGTGAGCAAAATACTAAACTTAAGAGGTGAGCTAATCCATTAACTCCGCTTTTATAATACAACACTAACTGTCTTAAAGTTTTTATTCTTTGTGTCACTTGCCCGGCTAAAACATCCAGGAATTGTATGAAACTTGGCTAGGGGTGAGATTTTGGAACCGGGAACCGTAGAACCAATTGGAACCGAACCGTTAACAACATCTAGGAACCGAACCGTTAACAATTAATGCCTCATTTGTAGGAACCGAACCGAAGCGGGTTATAACGGTTCGGTTCCCGGTTCCTATAAAAATATGTGCATGGAACCGTTATTAAAAAATAAAAAATAAAACAATATTAGTAGTAGTAGTAACAATAATAATAATAATATAATAGCAATAATAACCACCACCACCACAACAATAATAATAAAACAATATAAGATATTTAACTAACAATTCTAATTTAGTCAACGGAAAAGAAGTAATAAATATTGTACATGAGGTTGATATAATACATTAAACTCTTTTCTACAAATCAAGGTTTGTTCCATCACATAAATTTTATAAATATAAAATAACCCAAATAACTTGTAGTTGATTGCACATATTTTACTTTACTATTTTCATGATATTTCTAATTATTAGATTTATTATGAATCAATAGAATGTAATAATGTTTTTTTTATATCTATACATGCAAACTCAATGTTTTTTTTTTATGTTTTGAACGACTTGAAGTACACGTCCTATTCTTGCTATTATGATGACAAGTAACCTTCATCGCCAGGGGCGGAGCCAGGAGGTGAGGGTAGGGGGGGCAAAATGCTATTACATAATATACTCCTCTTAAAGTTTAGTAAATTAGTATCCCAATTTTTTCTTATAATTCTTTTATACTCCGTATTAGATACTTTAAGACGGATATCTCCAATACTACTCCATAATATATTATTAATAATATATTTTGACATCCGGAGTACCGAGTATTATTGATGGGGTAATAATCACTTCTTCAAAATATAGTGTTGTTATAGATTAATATTTTCCAAAATGACTACTTCTAGAATATACTACGTATAATGTTTTTATACATATGATATTTTAATGAAGTATTGAAGAATTATAAATGTAGTACGGAGTATAACTATAAACATATTTTGAACTACTATACTACTAGAGGAAATACAATTTGGGGGGGGGGCAAAAAAATAAATTACAAGCCAATAATTAAAAAAATAAAAATGTTGGGGGAGGGGGGGGGGGGGCAATGGCCCCCCTAGACATATACATAGTTCCGTCCCTGTTCATCGCTCCAACACTTCAACGATTTTTAATGTCTCATTTATTACATGAAAATTTAAATCACTTTTGTTCTATTAAGTGTTCAAAGTTCATTAGTTAAGTTAGAGCTTTGATGTTTGAAGTGATTAGAGCTTCAAATAAAATTTTAATACTCGTGTTTTGAATTTTCAATGTGTTTAAAATTATGTGTTAATTCTTAGACGAGAAAAAATTATTCTAGGAACCAGTAAAAGAAAGAACCGAACCGTTTACTACCGGTTCGGTTCCATAACGGTTCTTGATTTTTTAAATAGAAACCGAACCGATTTCATTAGTTAAAACTTTTATAACGGTTCCACTCATTTTGAGTAAGAACCGAACCGGTCCCAGCCCTAAACTTGGCATAAAAGTGTAAGAAGGATCAAAAGTAAGAGATTCATGGACTCATGGTCGTGTGCAAACATATGGGAAACATATGGATTAAAAGTAACAAACGCATTATAATTGTGGGGCTAAAAGTTACAAATAATTAAATGGAAATCAGAATACTCCATCTATCCCAAAAAGTACTCCCTCTGTCCCAAATGAAACTTTACGTTTCATTTTGGCACGATAATTTAGGATAGCAATTAATAGAAGAACTAAAACCCCTTTTACCTTTGTTGCAATTACCGCAGCATAGGGGGGTCTGGGAGCACATCTACCATTCATCTCCCTTTCCGGCCATATTCTATAATTCTTGTAGCCGGATCAACAATTTCTTATACGGAGTAAATTCAAATAGGGAAGAACACAAACAGATCAAATTCAAAGCTAAAATATTGAGACCCAATTTGTTACTCTATCATCTCCTACTCCGAAGATGAAGACCGAAACACAAAAAGGGCCTCTCTGCTCTGCCCGCTGCTTCTCGCCACACCCTTGTTCTCGTTTTTTATGTTTCGTTGCATTCTTTGATTTCACCTCTTTGCACTCCTGTTTTCCGGCAAAGTGCCGTTCCCGGAGCTGGAGCCGACGCATCGGCGGCATCAAGAACTCAGTTGCCCCAATCTTTGATTTACGAGCTTCTACATTATGCGGGTATCTCGGTGGTGTTCTCTGGAAGGTTACAAGTTGTGGTAATAAAGTGTGGGTATCGTCTCTTGAGGGGTAATTAACTGTGGGTGGGTAAGATAACTAAAGGGTATTTAGGACAATTTAGTGTTTACAAAGTTACCAAAAAAGGAAACGTAAAGATTTAAATGGGACGTCCCAAAAAGGAAAGTGTAAAGATTTAAATGGGACGGAGGGAATATCATTTTTCATCTGTTCTGAAATAAAATGCTACTCCCTCCGTCCCAGAAAATTCTTCCAACTTTGAGTTGGATCGCATATTTAGGTAGTGGAATAAAGTAGAAATGTATGGTTGTAGTTGTGTAAGAAAAAGGTGAAATGAATGTGAGCCACACAAATAATAAAAAAAAGGTGAAGTTGGAAGAATTTTCTGGGACATCCCAAAAAGGAAAGTTGTGTGATATTATCTCTTAAATTGACACAGATCTCAATGACAGGATTCTCAATCACATGACTAAACCGAAAACCTTATTTTGGGACGGAGGACATTGATGTTGTAAAAATCACTACACGGAAGAAGGGGGGCAAGGTTTCCTGGGAAATAATAAGAGCTAAACAAATTAGTTTTTTTCCTGCCAGTAGGAAAAAAACTGGGCGCCACAGAGCGCCTACACAGGGATGGGGTTAATGAGGCCTGCTGGTTTATACAACAACTGGAGGGAGTGGTACTCTCTAGATTGCAAAATTATACTCCATAGTTAATTATACAGTTCAACTGGGCGGCAACACAAAATTTGATGCAGTACAAAACAACGAAAAAAACACACAGAGCACTACTGCTCTTTGAAGCAAATACTACGGAGTAACTTGTAGTTTCAAATGGTTTACGGGAATATAACATATCCATTACAACTTTAAAACAAAATGTTGCTGTCTGTGTACACTAGACAGCCAATGAGTGATGATCATTATTACCATTACTACCTCCGCCCCCCTAAGATTGGGACAAAAGGGGTGGTGCGATTTTTAAGAAAAGTATAATTATGTGGTTTATAATGAATTGATAGTAGGAATACAACAAGAATGAATTAGAACCACACAAATATTACCAAATATGATATGAGACAACTTTTTGTGGGACGGCCGAAAAAAAGAAAAAAAGGGACAATTATAGTGGGACAGAGTATTATTTATTATAATGTCAGTAGACTTTTCTTGACCGCCTACTTCTCATGAACAGACAAATCTAAATCTGCCTAACATCTAAACACAGCACACATTCACATTGTTGATCACTTATTTCATAATACAATCATATATCATAATATAAACATTTGCATTCAGAACTACATATTATGAGTTTTTACCATGTATATACAGACAATAATATTGTTTTTCTTACCTTGAAGTATTAATGTACAGATGATGCCTGACTCCTAGCTTTCGTTGTATCCTGGCACACCCCTGCCGTGTGTAGGAAACAAGGCCAAGATCTGCATCCTGTAAAGTACAATGCAGAACCAATGCATTGGTGAAATATCCCACCAGTGTAATCAAAAGCAAGCACCTGGGCGCTTAAGCGCACAAGGCGAGTGTTGAAAACCGAAAATTAACAATCAACGGAAGAAACCGTTGCCCAAGCTTAATAGCTAAAAATTCCAATATTATTGATGCCTGGTTCGAACAGCTCTAAGTAGGGGTTTAAAATTTTAAATAACCCTTAAACCAAACCAGAATAAACTAGGAAACGTAATAGAAGTCATAATAAAACCATAATAGGAAACATTATAAAAGGAAACAATAGAATTGAAGCTAATTAAAATTAAAAAAAAACAAGCCCACAAAGGTGGACTCAAACCCGTCCCCACCTACGGTGACCAACAGGGTCCTGGGTCTCGGACCCCTCTCTTCCGCTCCGGCGCCCTGCTCCCTGCTCTATATCAATTCCATCCTGCTCTATATCAATTTCAACACTAGGTTGCACCAACCATTTAACCAATAACTCTTCCATAGCTGCCCCTTTGTCTCCTCCCATTCTACTAGCCAATACCTCTTCAGGTTCCAACACCGGCCCTACAGGCGGTTCCAAGCTCTCCGGCAGCTCACTCTCTATCGGACGATGACATTGACACAAAGCAATTGAAATTTAAGAAGGCTGATGTGGAGAAGAGGAGAGGAGGCCACATTGACAGCTGTGGCTCAAAAGCTCTTCCACAGTTTGAATAGCTGCCCCTTTATCTCCTTGCTTTTGAGATGTGTGTCTTATACTCGATCTCAAAATAATACCCCAACGATTTTGCCACTCAGACCTATTGTGCTAGTGTTGCTACGCGCTGTGATCAATACGAACCACAAACCGCCGCCCAATCAAATACGGACACCAATGTTGAACTGCAAAAGCTAACCCCGTCATCTCTCTTTCTTAGGCTGAGTTGGTAACGATTCTGACCGCCAAGGATTTGCTGAAATACGCAATAGGCCGCCGCTCCTGCACGAGTACTGCTCCCACACCAGCGCCAGACGCATCACATTCTCATTTGTATTGAGATGAATTCAATAATATTTTTCAAAAAAAGTAATTCTCATACATTAATAAATAAAATGTAGTCAAAGTAGAGCATGTGAATAGTGTAAAATTATCCATGTTGCAACTAAAAAGAAACAGATGATAGTATATAATATCTGCCTTGTGCTTTTACAGGACATGGAAGGTGGAACTTCGGCCATAGGTCCTGAAGCTGCCAAATCAGCAAAAAGGACCCGGCTTGTAAACAAAATTACTTGTCTGATGAAAATGATGCAAACGAAGTAACTTGCATGTATTGTGGAAAGGTAACAAACGGGAAGCTGGGTTGAAATGCCCAGATTCCCAGAACATATTAAAAAGATGCTAAGAAAATATATGCAAATAAAAAAGGATGCTAAGATCAATTATGCTAAATTGCCAAAAACATCCTGATTTTGATGCGTTTCATGACCTAGAGAAGGATAGGATGACGGTGAACTTGAGGAGTTGGAAAGAAATTCTAGAGGCAAATTAAAAAGAGTTCATGATGCAAAGACGGGAAAGGAAAAGGTCCTATGGACACGTTTATCTACAGTTCTACACGACACCAGAAACTGTGGTCGAGTTTTTGAGCTTCAAAAGCAAGGAAGACCGAGGCAATTGAAGATTGACGAAAAGTTGGATAAGCAAAGAAGGAAAGTAGCTATTCAATATATATCAAACATTTTTTTTACCTCAATGACATTCCTTTCCATGTTGCCTGATAGCATTCATTTAAATGTGCCATTGAAGCAATTGGACAATATGGTCCAAATTTGAAGCCGATAGCTACCATGAAGTGAGGGTTACATGTTTGAAAGAAGTTGCTAACATCCGGAATATTCGAGCAGAACATAGAGCTCTGTGAGTGAAACATGTGAGTGAAACATGGCTGCTCAATAATGGCGGATAGTTGGACTAGCATCACAAGTCCATGCATAGTAAATTTCTTAGGTCACTCTTTGGCCAGATGTGTGTTTTGCCAAATCTGTGGATGCCTCAAATGGGTTCAAGGGTATTAGAGCCACTTGATGGATTTTTTAAATATGTAGGGGGGCTAATGTTGTCCAGGTGGTTATCGATAATGGTCCTAATTTTAAGTTGTGTGGTAAATTGTTAGAAACTAAGAGGCCAAACATATATTGCACGCCATGTGGTGCAGACTGCATTGATCACATGCTAGAAGACATTGGAAAGTTGCCCTTGATTTTGAAAACCTTAAAACGGGATATGACTTTGACTAGTTTTATTTATAACCATGTGGAATTGTTGAACTTAATGAGGAGGTACACAGGACAAAGAAATCTGATCAGACCTGGGAATACAAGTCAAAGACACATGATGAAGCCTACTTCTCAAATAGTGCTTATTACATATTCAATCTGACAATGAAAGAAAACTGGCTATGGGATACATATACGAAGCAATGGATAGAGCCAACGAAGCTATAATAAAAGCTTTTAATGGAAGACAGGAAGAGAAGATAACTACAAAGGAACATTCAAACTCAATGATTCCAGAGGATAGAGATCCACTTCTGAATATTGATGAGTTGTAAAAATATAAGGGTTGAAAGTCTGTTTGGTATCAAATTGACAGTTTTGACAAGAAAAACAAAGGATCCAGGTAACATGCACTTTTTGGATTGATTCTTTAACAATCTGTCATATTACTGCAGCAGGCATACTATATACTCATCAATTCATTCTGATTTTTTATGTCATAAATGCAGCAAAGTGGTGGCGCTTGTATGGAAGCACAACCCACAACTTACAAAAATTGACCATGAGAATTCTTTGCCCACACGTGTAGTGAGTGCTTGAGGTCGTGAACGCAACTGGTATATGTTTGAACATGTACATTTTTAACTTACAACTCCTAGAAATCAATTGTTAAACACTTAAAGCACTACAGTAAAAAAACACTTAATTTTTTTTTTTTAGTATTTGTTGACTTTTTTTTTTAAATCCCGGTAGGTGTCCAAAACCCGAAGGTCTTGGGATAAGGGCCGGGAAACACCTTACCTGTTTATTAATAAAATCAAGATACAAAGGGTAGGAGGGCTAAACCAGGCCTACACACAAAGCAAAGGAACGAGCTAGGAATGCAGAAGCTAAATGATCTAGTTTTGCCAAGTATAATACAACTTTGAAAGCTCGTTTTGACTCCAAAGATATCACAGATCCTATTGTTTTAGATAATATTGATGATTACAATGAGTGGTTGCATCAAAGTGCTCAAAATGATTTAGTTTTCATTGATGACAAAGGTGATGGCTTGACATGGGGTGCTGTGAGTAGAGTAAAAGGAGTAGAAGAAGTGATAAGATATACTAGGAGGCAGTCCAAAATTTCTAGTGCAAATACTAATTGTAGGCTTTTGGATGAGAAAAGTGATGGAGAAATTGAAGATGATGTAGGAGAATATAAATCAAAAGAGAAAATTATCAGGGATATTACTAAAACACAACATCTTTCCCAAACTATGAGTAGGTCAGTTTTTTTTTTCCTAGGCTACCATCCGCATGGTTATGCGAAGAGGTTAATTAAACCATACAGTATGTTTTCCTAGGCCATGTATGTGAGGTCATAAGATGGGAACGAAAAGAGATTTGGTCATATTTTAGGAAAAGTGGTATGTTTTGGTAATATTGAGGGTTTTTTCCCAAATAAAAAATAGAAAAGAAACAGACTGTCTTTTAAAGACGAGCAAGGGGGATTGGGCTAGAGTCTAATTATGTTTTATTTTCAATTTTACTATTTAAGTTATAAATTCCGAATTCGGTTGGTATGTTTTTGTGAACCATTACCTAATTTTGGTAAATCGTGACTTTATTTTGGTGAATCGTGACTTCATATTTTACAAACATGACTTTTTAGTGCAGTCGGTTCAATATGATGTTAACTACATCGCGTTTGATAATTGTAAAATGATATATGGAATATTTTCTAAGCAATGCACTTGAAATGAGTCAGGCAGGCGCTTTTTTGTACCTTGCTCCTCGGGCGATAGTGTACTCTGGTACCTTGAGTGCACCTTGCGATTTGGACTACCTTGATCCCCATGTTAAATATATAATGGGCCCGGGTTTTACTTTGTTGTGTTAAAAGAGCTTTGTCTACTACTTCTTATTCAGACTCACTTTTCGAGTTTTGAGACTTTCATTCTAAGAAAAATAAGAGCATATACTAAGCTCAGAAACGGGCTATGTTAGCATGCTCCCCAAGGAAGGCAATGAGCATACTGGTGATATGGAGTAGGATGCATTCATCTCATAAACTTTGATCCTACATCGAGATCATTAGTTTCTACACACAGTTTTTTAGAGAAGATGTTGCATACTCAATAGATAATATTATATAACAAATCAAATCATATTTGGGCAAACCATTATTCTTTGTTTCACATGCATAAAAACATCATCATCATCATCATTACCCTGCAAAGGCTCCCACACCTTCGGTGGGGTAAGGGGGTCGGATGTATGCAGTCTTAGCCGTGTACTACCCCTGTACTAAAGCACAGAGAGACCGTTTCCGGACGACCCATAGTGAAAATCACGTCGAAAATTTCATGGGCTGACTATTACCAAGTCATTTTGCTTTATTCTATCATATTCCCAAGCCAAAAAATAGTGAGTCTTTGGCTCCATTGCAAAATGATGGAAAAAAATGCACTCATGTCCCGTTAAGGGTTGTGATAACTTACGAGGTGTAATGTGCGCCGTAAAATATTGGAACCCTTCCAAGTCCCGAACCTCTCCATTTTGTTCTTGGTAAGGATACACTCGTGTCGGCTTCTGAGCCGGTAGCAGTCAACACAAACTGTAAAGTACAATTTTTATTGCCATTTTAGGATAGACTGAAGAAGTAGAAAAAAATTTAAACAACAACACTCAAACCTTAGTCCCAAAAGAATTTGGTATCGGCAAACATGAATCAATATACGATATCGGAGCCAAAAGAAAAAAGATAAGAAAGATAAAAAGATAAGGTATTATGAAAAAGAAAAAAGGTAAGATAAAATATAGATAATATATAAAAAAAAGATAAGAGAAAAAGGATAAGGGAAAATCACACTTTTAGGGTTGGTTTGCAACTGCTTTTAAAAAAGCACTTCTCAGCTTTTGGCTTCAAAAAAGCACTTATTTTCCCAAACACTACAACTTTTATTTTTCTCGGCTTCCGCGTCAAAAGTGCTTTTACTTTTTCTATTACACAAAAAACACTTATTTTACCAAACACTACCCACTTTTATTTTTCAAAATCACTTTTTTCTCAAACACTATCAACTTTTATTTAATCACTTCTCCCCATTTCATTAAAAAAGCACTTTTTTAAAAGCAGAAGCTGTTGCAAACAGACCCTTGTTCTCTCAAATAGTACCGGTATTGAAATGTCATCCTCGTATTCTCAAGTTTGTAAAAGTCACCCCTCAATGGTCTCCATTGTTGTAAATGTAGTCCTTTGAAGGGTGAAATGTACAATGTGAGCGAGGATTACATTTACACCAATTCAGACAATTGAGGGGTTACATTTACACATTTGGGTACATGGGATTAAATTTCGATATCGGTACTATTTGAGGGACTAAAAGTGTGATTCTCCCAAAGATAAATATATATATACTTATTATATAGGGGAGGGTTCAAATAAAAAGGAGTCTTAACGTGTAAAATAAGAATAATCTCAACCGTCCAAACTGTCAATCTGATGCAGAATAACCCAACCTAATGCTCTTTCGAAGTAACCTTATCTGATGCACTTTTCGGACAGTGCATCAGATAAGGTCTACATGAAAAGTGGATCAGATACTGTTATTGTGCATCAGATCGACAATTTGCACGGCTGAGATTAATTCTTATTTTACACGTTAAGACCTCTTTTAATTTGATCCGAACTATATATATATATATATATATATATATATATATATATATATAACAAAAACATAAAAGGATAAAAAAAGATAAAGGGAAAAAATATGGCCAATCCGTTGCACGGATACCCACCCTCCACTTTGCTCTGTCCAAAATATGGTCATAAGTTTCTGTATTTAAAGTCTAGTAATGCCAAAATATGGCCGTAGGAAACTCCTATTTAGGGTGGAAACATAGTACTCATATTTTGGAATTTTCATTATTTTAAATCCTATTTAGGGAATTTTTCCCTAGACATTAAGAAGAACCAAGTCTCAAAATCCCCCAAATTGGAGGAATGAGTTATGAAAAGTTTTGAACATTTTATAGCTCCTCAACTTTCCTCCTCCTTTATCCAAAAACTCCCCCCCAACCAAACAAATACTATCCCCCCTCCAAAAACCTACAGCAAAACAAAGGGTTAGTCTCTTTTTTGTATGCATTTTATCAAGTACCAAGGACAGATGAAGGAGGCAAGAAGTTTATTACCAAGGGAAAGAGTAAAGCCATAACCCCGTAGCTAACAAGAGGGGAGAACAAGAATATCACCAAGACACATGGGCTACCTGGAAGTATATACCACCAATTACATAGAGAAAATAATCAATGACTAAAATGAGGCTTCAAGTTGAAATGCAAAACTTTAAAATCTTCAGTTTGGAAATGTGAAATTAACATGAAGTCATACAGTTTTGGGTTTGAGCTCACATACAAATTATTTCACTTTTACAATTTTCAATCAACCATTCTGTAACTATATCACAATGGTTTCTGATTTCATTTGCCTAGTATAACTATATCACAGTAAAACAGAAGCTGAGGGATGAAATTTGAAACTCTAAATTAAGAAAATGGTAAAGAATAATGTAAAGAACGTGACCAAAACCAGCAAACAATGTCCAGTTAGTTTCAAAGAAGTCCAGCCTCTTGTCCAAACTTAGTCCAGATAGATTCCATTTATACCTAGACATTTACAATTACAAACTCCTTAATTGGCATTGTTCAGAATAATCAGCAGAAATATAAGAGAAAATGGAAATCTTAAAGTAAAAACTTACTCGAAACAATAATATGCATACATCCAAGAAAGAAGCAGAAACTTTAGTGTATTTCCAATATAGGGGATGAATCCGATAGCAGTAATCTGGAACCAGAAAGAACACCAGTAGGCATATTGATTCTTTAGGGGAGGTGTCAAACACCGTTTTGAAATACAATTTCACCTCTAGGAAGAAGAAAGTCAGCAAGAGGACAGAATAAATTTGTTCAGCAATGCCAATCATGACTCTGAAATGGAATTATCTTATAAAAAAATCTCCTTAAACGAAACATCTCATAATTGTGCACCCAAAGAGTTAATTAAGGGTTAAATACAGCCATTCAAGTAAACAATAAACATACCCTTCAAAATCAGTTGATTTAGTCTTACTAACTATTGTTTGTGAAACTTGTGACTCCTTTTGATCAGATGATTTAGAAGTAGTTGGTCCATATTCCTCGAGTGCAAAAAAACCATGCATTGCAATGTCATTGTACCTGAACAGAATACACCATATTACAGTGCAAATGTGTGCCCATATGTTATGACCTGATTTGCAGAACTGCAATGTTAGAAAACATTTAAATACAACACTTCAAGATCAACTTATTGATTTACCACAAAAAACATGTCCTTAATCTGGATATGAAGGTAAGTCAGAGATTTATCAAATTATAAGAAGTCCTTAAGTCTAGCGTTTACTAAAAACCAAGTATTTGAAACTTATCTCAAATTTTGGCTCTACAATATTATAATACGCAAAAAAAACTGAAGCTATAGACAAGCAGTAATTCACATCATAAAACAGAAGAGAAACTGGCCAAGTGAAGATAAGAAATACCATATATTGCTGAGGATGTAGCTCAAAATGTATAATGGAAAAAACCAGAAAACCTACAAAGGAAAACCATAAAAGTAAATAACAGTGCTAAAAAATATATTGCTCATTCAAAATTTTAATGATTCTTAGTGTAGGCAGAATATATATTTAGAAGGTTGTGAACAACTACATCAAGAATTTGAAGACTACACTGGCCACCTAAAGCTCCAACCCAATACTATGTCAAATATCTTGTACCATAGGGAAACACAATAATAACTCACATAGAGCAGTTGCACAAGTCCAAGGCGTAAGAAACTATAAAACTCCATTATAACCCCACATGAAAATGAACCTTCTGAAGTGCTCTCTGGGCATTGATCCGGCAATATCCACTGTAGTGCTGGAACAATGACTGATTTCAGAAGAAAGATACTGCAAGAGAAGATATTCAGAGAAGCATGTTGTGATCAATCTTTCCCAAGTACTTGATTTGGTTTATATAACTTCATTCCAGTTACAACTTACAATCATATCAAAGTAAATTTTGGATTAAAAAAAAAACTCATTTTCTCGAAAGCAAATTGCAGAACATTGTTAATGGTAGAGAACTGTTAAGAAACACGGGTTTAATTAAATGAAAAACATATTCCGCACTAAACACATAATACAGAGATACAACATTACCTTCCTAAGAAGATAAAGCCATTCAGTAAGAAACACTGGCCAGTTCGGATGGCAAGCTGTCTTGACCTTCAATCAGACATATAAAAAAAGCCCAAGAGAGAAATAGTTCGCTATTAAGCAGTAAATTCATCGGAGATATGAGCAAAACAGAGTGGTGAACAAAACTGGGGAAGGGGAACCTGATGCAGTAGACAAAGACCCGGTGAACACAACAAGCCTCCCTGAAACCCTCCGCCCAAAGAACTAACGCCTGCTTTGACTTCCTGCTTAAGGAGCTTGCCAAATTCCTCGGGACGCGGCTCTCCATCCCCGTAGATGAATTTGATCGGCAGTAACAACTACCTCGATGAACAGTTGTTGAGTGTTGGTTTCTTTAATGAACGTTGAACTGTTGTTGAGTTTTACAACGGTTTATACCTATAGAATCCATTCGGTTTTTTAGATTTTTCTTGGATTGAAATTTGATTGTGTGGTTAGGTTTTATCTAAATTGATCTGGTCTAATTTGATATGTTTAACTTCGATTTAGTCTAGTCTAGTTTGATAAATGTCTGGTCTTTGTGTATTATATAATTGTCCAAATTTATCTGGTCTTGTCTAATTTGATCTTATCTAAATTGGTCTGGTCTAATCTGATATGTTTAACTTCGATCTGGTCTAGTCTTGTTTGATAAATGTCTGGTCTTTGTGTATTATATAATTGTCCAAATTTATCTGGTCTTGTCTGGTGTGTTTAATTGTAATATCATTAGATCTGATCTGGTCTGATCTGATCTGGGACTAAAAACAATCCAAAAAGAAAACATTCTTACTACAATCGAATGTTGTCAATAATTTCAATATATTCATCATTAAAGCTTAATTTTTTTTTCTTTTTCTTTTTTTTATCATCCAATAATGAGCCTTTATTCATATCATAAGTTTCAGGATCATTACATCAATCAAAAGAAAAACAAATCTGACACCAACCAGACTCCAACAATTACGAATGTAAACCATATGATCAGATTTAGAAACGGTCACCTCTGCAACCCGAATAGTTAATCATGTAACATATTTGACACAGCCATCCATGTTCCCACAGATCCAAACATACTCAATGACATAAAACCAGGCTAAATTCTCAAACAAGCTGACAAATCTAACAACAACAACAACAACAAGAAACCAAATAACAAAATAACGAGAATTTATTGGAGAATTTTCACTAACTCTAGCCTCTCGCACAACTCATGACGGTGGTTCAGGAGGAGGCCGAACCATTAGTACCACTCTAATTGATCCGCCACTGATTTCAGCCGTGTTGCCATCCTCCTCCTTCCCTAGAAGTCGGCCATAGCCATCACTGAACCCCTTGCCGTCATATGTAGCCAAACCCCGCCGCCAGATGCTCCGCCATTCAGGCTTTATGTATGGATCTCTTCCGGTATGCTGCAGCGTCACTCCATGCCAACCACTGCCCTCCATCAAAGCAAATCTCCCCGAACCTGTATAACATCGCCTCGCCAAGAAACCTCCACCACCATCGAAAGCCGAAGGCATCGAAGTGGACCAGAAACGCCGAACTCGGAAGTCGGCGAAAAACCAAACCCTAACTAGAGGGTACCATTAAAGCTTTAATTTTATTTTATTTTTTTAATTTTATTATCATATATCAACTTTTTCCAACTTTTCCAGAATAATTATGATCAATAGAATTAAATAAGTGAAAGATGCATAAAATAAATTTAAATAAATTTGGTATTTTTTTTTGTTATGGCCCATCTTTGAATAAATTTAAATAAATTTGGTATTTTTTTTTGTATAAATAATATTTTAATCATGAGATCTATGAAATCACGGGATGTATGAGTAGATATCTTTTTGAGCCCATGTTGCAAGCAGCGTTGTTATTTCTTATGGTATCCGTCTTGCCGTCTTGGCATGTCCAAATTGACAAGCACTATTGCTAAATGTCTAACGGTGCAATGCAAGTGTGAGAAGTACATTACGATTACAGGTGTTGGAGTTAGAAAGAAAAATGCTTCAGGTATGTATACAAATGTGTACACATGTCTGTCATTCACAGAAATTTTGTCATTGAGTTGTTTGTGACTGACAAAATTTATGTGAACGACAGACATGTGTACACATTTTGTGTACCCCTAGCAAAACTAGAAAATATACTCCGAGCATTCAGGTGAGGTGTTTCCTGGCCCTTACCCCAACACCCTCGGGTCTCGGATATCTACCGGGTAAAAAACAAATGGCGGAGTAGACGGTAGGATTACTTCATTTTTGAAAGAGTAAAATGCATAAATGGTCCTTAAACTATCATCACCATATCGTTTTGGTCCTTCAACTAATAAATCTATCATTTTAGTCCTTATTCTATATAATTCATTCTAATCAAGTCCTTTTGTTACTCTCCATTAATCTTTGCCGTTTATGGTCAAATATTCCATCTTTATTAATTATATATAATACCCATCTTTAACTTAAAATTACAATTAGGGCATATTCCTTTGCAAAATCCTGCTGTTGTTTTCATTCATCTGCCTATGCTGTTGCGTGGAAAAGGAAATTGCAAGAAACAGTAAGCATGACACAGGGTAATGCAATCCTTTTCTGGATTATTTTTTGAATGTGTTTTCTAGAGGTTTATGTGCATTACTTTCCTCCATAAATAAACAGCAAGTCCTAAGGTACAAGCTATTAGCTATGTACTGTGAGGATAGTAGGGTTGGAAAAAAGCGAACCGAAATCCGGAACCCGACCCTAGCCCGGCCCGAATGATATTCCCGGTCCGGGATTATTCTATTTAACCGGCCTGGATAAAAAAACCGGATTGAACCTGAAAATCCGGGCTCATAAGTGGGCCCTAAAATCTATAACCTTGAAACAATTAGCTTTAATATAAAATCAATATAATATACAAATATAATATAAATATATAAATAATTCCTAATACGTAGTACGAAGTATATGATTATGATCGTGGTGGATGAAAACACGACCTAGTAACTTTTAGTGACTAAACATATGTTCAATTTGTTTACCATAAGGACCATGAAAATATATTTATAGTAAATTTAGTCACTTTTGTATCCATAAGTTTTATTTCGTAATATTTTTAGAAAACCTATATTATTTATTTATATGCATCTTAAACAAAATATTAAGATAATTATCTTCTTTGGATTTGAATTGTTGATGGTTTTGGAGACTAATATTTGTATTATTATTTGTGATTTTTGTTTTGATGTAGATAATTTTTTCAACATAAATAAACAATCATCAAACAATCATCCGTAACAATCATCAAACAAATTTTTCAAAAAAAATTAAACAATCAACCAATCATCAATTCTTCAATAGTGGAGCATAGGAGAAGCTGCGGCTAAACCTAAAGTCAGAAGGGATGGGAGAGCATAGTTTCTCAGCCGTAGCTTTCTAATCGGTCAATGATGAGGAGCTAGCAAGGCCAAAGCTCACACAGTCACGGTTCTTCTTCTTTCTCAGCCGCAGTCACTCTTCTTCTTCCGCGGCAGCTATTCGCTCTCTCGCGCTATGCTCTTTTTTTTTTTAATGAAACGGCATTGTTTTGGGATCGGCACACCATGCTCTTGGTGGGCCGATCCAACGGTATAAATTGCCAGTAATTATGATTTATGAGTTTTCTTTCTTAATAATATATATGTTTAGTACTACGTAGTTAATTATGTACACAATTTGGTGAAATGTTACATAGTACTTCCCCATCACTGAATTAAGTTCTCACTTTCCTTTTTGAGCAGTTCCTAAATTAAGTTCACACTTCATTACTTTCCTTATTTGGCAAATTATCTACATCAAAACAGTGTTAAACAGTGCCAAAATGTGTCGAAACGGTGTCCAAATAGTAAAATTTACCCCCTAGTAAATTTATTTCCTTAATATGTGTGAAATTTAACCGGGAACTTAATTAGGGGGCGGAGGGAGTATATATTTTTGTACGACAAATGTTCTAATTAGTCATTGATTTAATATTACTAACATATGATGTTAATAATTAATAGCATCTAGATTAGATAATGATCTGGTGACTATATTCTACTGCTCTTAGGCATATAGAGATCAAGCTAATCTTATAGATCTTTGTTAGAACAAATTAATATGATAGACCACAAGGTCTAATTCTTATCTGCGGTCATATAGAAACGTTATATGGACTAATTAATACTACCTCCGTCCCACTAAGATTGAGACGAGTAAAGATGACACGATTATTAAGAAAAGTGATTTTGTGTGGTTTATATTAAATTGATAAAGTAAGAATAAAGTAATAATGATTTAGAGCCACACAATCTTTACCGAATATGGTATGCGTTAATCTTAGTGGAACTTCGCGAAAAGGTAAAATGAGACAATCTTAGCGGTACGGAGGGAGTACTTATTGAAATCTCACAATTGTAAAAATAACTCCCATAATTAATTACCATAAATGTAGAATTAATTACATAAAGATTTGCTCCAATAATTGTCACATTTCGAGAAGTTGAGGTGTATGGTGCAAATATCAAGCCATTAAGTAGCAACTTTTTTAAATTTGACATAACTTGTACTTCTTCCTTGATTATTTCACATGTCCATTCGTAATTCGTCTTTCGAAACGCTTGTGTCACCTTCCTTGCTAATTAATAGATGTTGATCATCTATCTCTTTCACCGAAGCAATGAAGAACAAAAGCTGAGATCTTATCTCCTCTCTCCCAAAGTAGTGTTAATGACTGGACGCTTGTGAATTTGAATTTCGCCCATGTTGTTGCTAGCCCTTCGGTTGACACAAGTGACTTCGTCCCGCATTGGACGGACGACGAGACTGGCTCCATGAGTGTGATCGGGATATTAAAAAAAGTGAACAATATTGTGTTTACATCTTAGTTATATTTTCAACTTAAACATGACTGTTTAAGGTTCATGTTGATATCATTCGTGTCGCCTCCTTCTGCTTTAGAGTTTCACAAAGACTGCATAGTGAAAATTTGCATAAGCAAAACTGCATAGTGAAAATTTGCCAAAATTCAACCGAGGAAGGACCCCTAAATAAGCACACCTTAAATGGTATACTTTTGTGCTTCATTCTACTTGTATTAAAAAAATGAAATCACTCAAAGTTGCTCCACAACCCAACCCCATTGAATAGATGGGGATTAATTTTTTTAACTAGACTTCTACATTTTTATGTAACGGGAATGAGCCAAACTTTTTTTTTGTATACTCCAAAAGCTAGACTTCTATTTTTTTTATGTAACGGGAATGAGCCAAACCTCTATTTTTGTACACTTAAAATGCTAGAGATACATATTTTTTTTTGGGCAAAGATACATACTTTCTTAAATACGTAGTACTTCACATGATTCTTTAATCTTTAGGTACTTGGCACTTTCGTACGAGTATAAAAAAAGCCCCCTCACATCATCTTTTATT